ATGGACCACGTCTCTTATAAAACCTACTGTCAGCCCACTAGCTCCCATCGCCGCCGCATCTATCCTGTTTATATCTCTAATACCAAGTCTCTGACTTCCTATGCCCTAGTCTCTTGTGTGCCAACCCACAAGTATTGTGGTACTGCTTGCTTTGACTAAGTTCAATGTTGAACAACAACGTTTGTGGGTTGGCACACAAGAGACTAGGGCAGGGGAAGTCATAGACTTGGTATCAGAGATAGAAATAGGATAGACGCGGTGGCGACGGGAGCTAGTGGGCTGACAGTAGGTTTTTTTAAGAGATGTGGTTCATGTGGCAAAGACCTGACCATGAGACTTACTCAGAGACTTTAGCTTCGAATTAGTGACCCAGACGCAGAAGAGGGTGAATAACGCCTTGAGTGGCACAGATGGGGTAGCAGGGGTCAGGGGGGGAGAGGGCAGACGGATCTTACGGGGCAAGAGAGAGAATAGGATGCCGGCGAAACGTCTGGGAACGTATCACGTCCACGGTTCGACTTTGGAAATCATTATGTATACAATGGATTCCGGACAAGGTGCGTTCCTCTAAATCTTTTTACTAATATGACCGAGTTGCGAAAACAAGTTCAAACAACTTCTATACAAATAATTTAAGTTCTTCAGCAACAGTTCTTTTGGATCTAGCACCTTAAGTGATTATGGATTCGGATTACAGAATAAGACTTGTGTATTATGAAACATCAATCACGCCTCAGGGGACACAAGTGATAAAATTCTAAAGTAAATTGTTTGACAAAATATCCCCACAAGAACATGAATACTGCCTTAATCGTAGTTCTTTATTCTGACCATTTCCACAGGTCAAACAGAAAATTTACGATGCTGCAACCGGTGCCTCGAGCTTTTCTATAGTATGGATAAGCCGGGCCTCTGCAGAACAGAGGGCTGGACGCGCTGGCCGTATTGGACCAGGTGAATGTCATCGTTTATACAGTTCACGTGTCTTCATGGATTTCGAAGAGCAGAAACCACCTGAAATTCTAACACGTCCCATCGATGAAGTTGTGCTTTTACTTAAGGTTAGCATAGCTGGAGTATTATCAAAAAGTATAAAGTAGAATAATGGGTTGTCGGGGAGAATAAGTACTGAGAAGTATAAATGAATCGAGGCAGAGTGCTGTCTGCTTTATTTGATAGATGGTTTTAATCATTATGGGCTCTTATAAATGTCAAAAAAGTGCCTTAAAAGAAGCATTTTGCATAGGATTTAGCATGCTGAATAAAGTGGAACAATAAATTTTTCCTTGGTCAGTCAGCTTTAAATATAAATTCAGATTTATTTTACTATAAAAGCTCTGAGGAAATGTCATGCCAAAAAAGAGAATTTACACTATGAATGATGCCCTATGAGACCTAAGCTGTAAATTATTTTATATTCTTAAATTTTTTCTGATTCCAATTAGTCTCGTCATTTGGTTATATTTATTGTTTTGTTCTAAGGACTAAATTTACTAATTTATAAACCGCCTAAGGCATGATTAAAATATTTTGTATTAATTATATAATATTTTAACAAAATATAAGCCAATTTTTTTGACATTATTTTCAATTAAGCATGTTAAAATAAAGGATAGTTTAATTATTAGGAATAACAGATTTTACTGTTGTACATAATTTTTTTAAAATATAATTTAAATTATTACTACGCGGAATGAAGCGTACTAAGTCTGGTCGGTTTTGAATTATAATAATTTCCTTGAATGATGCGAATAATATAGGATTTAGTATTCCGACTCAAGCGGAGGGAGAGGCTTTACTTTTATTAATATAATCTAATCCTTCTTTGATTATGGACTCGCTTGGAAAATATATTTTCAATTTTATCTGCTTCCTCGCTTTTTGGTATAATCAGAAAGCATCATATGATTTATGTATTAAGTGATTACGCTACTTGTGTGGTTAGGTATCTTCATATTATTTTAAATTTCCCACATTGCCTTTCTCTAGATAATTTGTTGATTCGATTTTCCCTAGTCAAGTAGATATTTTCAAATTAGTGTTCAGAAAATTAAGGAAAGAGTCAACTTGTAAACCGCATGCTTGGGCATTGAGTAATAATGCTTTATACTAAATAGAAATTACTAAAGAGTGTTATAAAATACAAGTACTAGTTATTGATTTCAATTAAATTCTTAAAAAGGATTTTCTTCTTCTTTAAAACGAAAAAGCAGTCT